TTTTCTCTGGGTAAATTCGTAGGAGTGGAATCCCCAAGTCAAATGGTATTTCTATTTTTAGTTTTTTGAGGAACCTCCATATTGCTTCCCACAATGGTTGAACTAGTTTACATTCCCATGAGCAGTATAGGAGGGTTCCTCTTTCTCTGCATCCTCAACCAACATTTGTTGTTCCTTGTCTTTTGGATGTTAGCCGTCCTTACTGATGTGAGGTGATATCTCATTGTGGTTTTAATTTGCATTTCCCTGATAATTAGCAATGTGGAGCATCTTTTCATGTGCCTGTTGGCCATCTGAATTTCTTCTTTGGAGAATTGTCTCCTCATATCCTCCACCCATTTTTTTCTTTTTATTGAGTTATAACATACATTACAGTATATAAAGTATTACACTAATCCTGAATGTACAGCAAGATGAGTTTACCTCCATCCATTTTTTAATAGGGTTATTTGCTTTTTGGTTGTTGAGGCATGTGAGTTCTTTACATATTTTGGATGTTAACCCCTTGTTGGATATGTCATTTATAGATATATTCTCCCACACTGTAGGATGGTTTTTTGTTCTACTGATGGTATCCTTAGCTGTACCATTCTTTAGTTTGATGTAGTCCCATTTGTTCATTTTTACTTTTGTTTCCCTTGTCCAAGGAGATGAATTCAGGAAAACGTTGCTCATGTTTATATTTAGGAGATTTTTGGCTATGTTGTCTTCTAAGAGTTTTATGGTTTCATGACTTACATTCAGGTCTTTGATCCATTTCAAGTTTACATTTGTGTATGGGGTTAGACAATAATCCAGTTTCATTCTCTTGTATGTAGCTGTTCAGTTTTGCCAACACCAGTTGTTGAAGAGGCTGTCATTTCCCCATGTATGTCCATGGCTCCTTTATCATATATTAATTGACCATATATGGATGGGTTTATATCTGGGCTCTCTAGTTTGTTCCATTGGTCTATATGGGTCTGTTCTTGTGCCAGTACTAAATTGTCTTGATTACTGTGGCTTTATAGTAGAGCTTAAAGTTGGGGAGACATACATTATCTTTTTAAATCCTCTTTAAGCCACTCTTAAAGGAATACATCATGTTCTTTAACTGATGGAGAAACTGAGGTTCAGCTGAGGTCAGGCAACCTGTCCAGAGTCACACAGTAAATGTCTAAGCCTGGATTCAAACATGTCTCCCTGATTCAAAGCCCACACTTTATCCCAAGTCCCTGGGGGACTTTCCTCACTTCCAGCTCAGATGATGCAGGTGGTCCCTCTCGTGGGGAAATTCCTCCAGGTCCCAGAGGCTGAATGGCAGGAACTTGTGAGATGGGCCACAGGCAGGCCTGGGGTCCCTATGAGAAAGCAAGACAGGTAGGTGGCCTGGGGATGAGGGCAGAGAGACACCATGCTCCACCCCCTGACCTCTTCAATCTGAACCCTCCTGAGTGGGGGAAGGGAGGAAGGCAAGTCCATTATAGGCCTGGGTGTGTTAGGAAGCACCCAGCTGAGACTGCACAGTTCCAGAGACACTGAGACAGTGAGAGAGAACGACCATGTACATGCATACACAGGGCCTATACACACGTGCCTCCACGTGGGCGGCTATGCCTGTTCTGGGGCTGTGTGCTCACAGGCTGGTGTGTCCTCAGGCTCAGGTGCACTAGCTTTCTCAGCCTGTGTGCAAGTCAGGCAACCTCACCTTCCTTTCCCTCAAACTTGTGCCCTCGTCTCACACTCCTTGGGCAGTTGGGTTCTGGGCAGACCTCGGTTCTTCCCCTTGGAAGAGGCAAGAGGAAGTCTCCAGATGCAATGCTATGAGACTAAGTTGGGCAGAACTTGACAACCTGGTCCCTTGCTCCTCAGACTGCTAAAGGGCCTCCAGCAGAGGCCATATGGTGAAAGGGAAGAGAGAAGGCTGGTAGCTGGTGAGGAGCTTAGGGTTGAGGAGTCACTCTGTGGATGGGAAAGAATTAAGCCTGCTGGGGGAGGCAGCCAGGACACAGTAGGGGAGGAAGAGTTAACTGACGGGGCAAGGTCCCAGCCTGGCCCAGAATGGGATCGAGGCCTGGGGTGGTTGGGCCCTCATGCCTCCTGGACTACGAAGTGGATGAGGAGTAGACAAAAGTGAGAACATAAGGCCAGAGGTGAGGGAGATGGGCCCCTGGTCAAAATGGGAATAGAAAATCCTGGAGTGGAAGGGCCAGTATCTGAGGATCAAGGCAGAGATGAAGTGGGCTGGATAAGCAGCTGAGGACAGGTTCCCTCCAGGGAGGGCCCAACCCTGGAATAGAGAGTGTGGCTATGACACCAGGACAGGTTTGGAGGCCTGAGGCGGGTTCCTGGGTCCACAACTGCTGAGCAGTTCAATGATGTGTGCTTGCTTATGAGGCACTGAAGACTGCAGAAGGCCAGGGCAGGAGCTGGGGAGAGGGGCAGTGAGGACCCTAGAGAACAGCGACAGGGAGGAGCAGGGGGTCTGGCAGACACTGAAGGGAGTGTGTGAGGATAAGTCCAGTCCACAGCTTCTTTACTGTGTCTGCGTCCTTCTGGGAGAGACCACTCTTTCCCCATCATGCCATTTAATACGCTCAGGGAAATGCTATCGTTAAGGCCAAATCTCTTTCTCCATATTACAGAGCAAAAGAACAGGTAACATTAAATAGAAAAAAACAAGTTTGGGGTCCATGTCATAACACAATATTTGTATCTGTGTAACTTTCTTTTTATTGGTGTGTTACCTGTACCAATTTTTTGTTGCACTGAGGTAACTTTGATATTACCTCCTATGACCCTGTAGCCAGAATCACATGTAATTTCTGATGTGAAATTCCCCCTCTAACACCAGGTAGTGCCTCTGTTCTTTGCAGCCCCTCTCAGCAGGAGTTGGAGAGCAGCATATCTACCCTCCACAGCCCTCACACTCAGCCCTGATGCCTCTGCTCTGCCTTTTTCCCATTGGTGGCCAGGATCACCTCTCAGATGGAGGTGCAACAAGAACTATGCTTTTAAAGCTTTAGTATCTATGTCTCATACCATCTCTAGGGCAGTGGGAATGAGAGTATAGTTTTATTTTCAGAGTGTCCTCTCCCACTGACATCAAGTCACAGACATAGGAGGTAATGAGATGAACAGGTGGCACTATCAATAAGCTGCTCCAAGTAAGGGCAACTGTGGAGGACCCAAGAAGTGACCTGATTATTTTCAGCTTCGTCTGCCCTGCCCCTGCCGTACACCATACTCCCAGTTCCAAGCCTCCAGTGACCCAACACTTGTTGGTGCTCCCTCCAGGCTTGCAGTGTACAGTGATGTAAGCTGCACACTGTTCATGAGCCCTTTTAAAGGGTCACTCCGTTTGTAGTTTTATTATGAGTTTTCCAGAAGGTGGCAGTAAAGTGTCTTGCAGAAGGGAACAGGGCATGTGAGCTAGCACAGCCCTCGCTTTCTGAGTGCATCGTGCTCTGCACCTTTGAACGAACAGGAACCCTCTAGTAGCCTCTCTGTCCAGTTTAGTCCCTTACCCTTCAAGGTCCAGTAAAGACACCAACTCCCTGGTGAGGCCTCAACCAGGTGTGGCACATTCCCCTGAGCTGCAGAGCCCTTGGCATACACCTCTATTTTCCCAAGTCACAAAGGAGGTTATCTACCTGTCTCTTCTACCTGGCTAAGCCATTATATTCACTTTTCAATCTGCCCCCATGCCTAGCACAGGATTTAGTATATGCTCAGCAAAAATTTGTTGAATACTGAACCTGTAAGTTTAATCTGTCAGAAGCTTAGGTCTGAGAAATAATCATCGGCAAAAACTGTCTCTGGCATGCCATAGCCCATTTAGTCTTTGAGATTTTAATCCTATCAGGACAAACCCAGTGGGGCCACATGCCCGGAGAGTGCTGTTCCCCAGGCCCTCCCTCACATTTATCAGGAGCAGGCTTATGCCGTGACTGGTGTTGAGGGACAGTATAAGAAACAGCTGTGGAACATTTCTGCCCTCTTTATGGCATAGCTAAGAGAACATTATTATTACATCTTACTTGTCTGCTTACTGAGGGCCATGAAATAAGTTCTATGATCTCTAAGTCAGGAACATTTCTGTTTCTTTTGATACAGTGGTGTGTTTTTTACTTTGCAAAGTGAGTTATTTGGTTACTGGGAAGCTCAGAGACAAATGTGTGACCCACTTTCTGTGAGATGTACTAACTCTGTACTGCTGTGTACTAACTTTCTCCCATCGTCTCTGGAATATGATTTATCTATTCTAAGTACCTTTCTGTAAAGTGGTGAAACACACTGTGGAAATGAGGCAGGCGGCAGCACCTGCCCTGGGCACATAGCCATCATGTGCAGAGCAGGGTCTAGAACCTAGGAGCTCTGACTTAATCAGGCAGAGACTCAAAGAAACCAAGTGGAGGGGAGGCTAATGTGCCTCGGTCTAATAGTTCTCCAGAGGCACCCATGCCTCTGACTTCAGGCCCAGAGCGGCCCTGGAATCTCAGGGAAGGCTGAGGTGAAGAGAACATTTAAGATTATCAAAATGCAGGGCCTCTAGGCTGGGGGCCTTGGGCAGGCCTCACTCATGCTTACACAATCCTAGTGCCTCTACTGTGCCTAGCCCACGGTGGATGTGCAGCAAACATCCGTTACTGAATGAGCCCCACCCAAGTTTGACCAGTCCCAAGGCTGGGGTGTCCCATCCCTTGCCTGACCCTTCACCATATTAGGTCTGAAAGTAAGGAAGATGTGTGTCCTAGAAGACAGGGCTGGTGTGGCCAGCACAAATAATAATCATTGCCTATAAGGTGAAGTTAGGGCCAAACATGTTGTTTCCAGATTCCTCTTGGCTCTGACGAACGTATTTTCAGATAACTTTAATCCTGGTACATGAGGGGCAAGTCTTCTGGTGCCTGGAGAAGGGGGCCCCACACTTCATTCTAGGTAGGGTGGCCTGTGGCTAGCGGTCGGCGGGCTCTCTGAGGCTCTACAGGCCCTCACAGGCGCTCCTTTCTTGCCTGCAGCTGTCGAAGATGCACTGGACACCGGAACACGCCCAGCCCCTCAACCAGTGGCCAGAGCAGCACCTGGACGTCTCCTCCACCACCCCGTCGCCGGCCCACAAGTTGGATCTGCCCCCTGGGGGTCGCCAGCGCTGCCACTATGCTTGGGTACACGACGACATCTCTGCCCTCACCGCGTCCAACCTCCTCAAGCGCTACGCAGAGAAGTACTCCGGGGTTCTGGACTCGCCCTACGAGCGCCCCGCCCTGGGCGGCTATAGCGATGCCGCCTTCCTCAACGGTGCCAAGGGGGACCCTGAGCCCTGGCCAGGGCCGGAGCCACCCTACCCCTTGGCCTCACTCCATGAGGGCCTCCCAGGAACCAAGTCGGGCAGTGGCGGCGGCTCCGGGGGCCTCGGGGGCTCCCCGGTTTTAGCCGGGAACCTGCCTGAACCCCTCTACGCCGGCAATGCGTGCGGCGGCCCGTCGGCGGCGTCCGAGTACGCGGCGGGATATGGCGGCGGGTACCTGGCGCCTGGTTACTGCGCGCAGACCGGCGCCGCGCTGCCCCCGCCACCTCCGGCTGCGCTACTGCAGCCCCCGCCTCCGCCGGGCTACGGCCCCTCCGGGCCCCTGTACAACTACCCTGCGGGTGGCTACGCCGCGCAACCCGGATACGCTGCCCTCCCCCCGCCCCCTGCCCCGCCCCCGGCCTCCTACCTGACCACGGGCCTCGCGGCGCCCACGCCCCTGCCCGCCCCGCCGCGGCCGGCGCCCTCCTCCTATAGCTTCCAGGCGGCCGCGTCGGGTGCCGAGGCCGGGGTTTCACTGAAGCGCAAGGCCGCAGACGAGGGCGCAGAAGGCCGCTACCGCAAGTACGTCTATGAGCCCGCCAAGGTCCCGGCTGCCGACGGCGCTAACTACCCCTCAGCGGACAATGGCGAGTGTCGGGGTAACGGGTTCCAGGCGAAGCCGCCGGGAGCCGCGGAAGAGTCGTCGGGCAAGTACGGTGGCGGCGTTCCCCTCAAGGTCCTGGGCTCCTCCGTCTACGGCCCGCAACTCGAGCCCTTTGAAAAGTTCCCGGAGCGCGCCCCGGCGCCGGCTCCCCGCGGGGGCTTCGCCGTGCCGTCGGGGGAGCCTCCCAAAGGTGTGGACCCAGGAGCCTTGGAGCTGGTGACGAGCAAGATGGTAGACTGCGGGTCCCCGGTGCAGTGGGCAGAGGTGGCAGGCCAGGGCGCGCTCAAGGCGGCGCTGGAGGAGGAGCTGGTGTGGCCCTTGCTGAGGCCGCCCTCCTACCCAGGCAGCCCACGCCCGCCGCGGACTGTGCTGCTTTTCGGGCCACGAGGCGTTGGTAAAGCGCTGCTGGGCCGCTGCGTGGCTACGCAGCTGGGCGCCACGCTGCTGCGCCTGCGCGGAGCGACCCTGACAGCTTCTGGCGCCGCCGAGGGCGCGCACCTCCTCCAGGCCGCCTTCGCGGCTGCGCGCTGCCGCCCGCCCGCCGTTCTCCTCATCAGCGAGCTGGATATGCTACTCCCGGCTCCGGACGACGGTGCCGCCGTCACCGGCTCGCTGCAGGCGCCGCTGCTGGCTTGTCTGGATGGCGGATGCGGCGCCGGGGCCGACGGCGTGCTGATCGTGGGCACCACCTCGCGGCCAGCGGCTCTGGACGAGGCGACCCGCCGGCGCTTCGCTCTCCGCTACTACGTGGCGCTGCCCGACGGTCCAGCCCGCGGACAGATTCTGCAGCGGGCGCTGGCGCAGCAAGGCTTCGCGCTCAGCGAGCGGGAACTCACAGCCCTGGTGCAGGGCACCCAGGGCTTTTCGGGGGGCGAGTTGGGGCAGCTGTGCCAGCAGGCAGCGGGCGGGGCGGGCCTCCCAGGGCTGCAGCGCCCGCTTTCATACAAGGACTTGGAGGCAGCGCTAGCCAAGGTGGGCCCTCGAGCCTCCCCCAAGGACCTGGACCGCTACGTGGAATGGGACAAAATGTATGGCTCTGGACACTGACGGAGTGCGAGGAGGCAGCGGAGGTAGTCGCCCCTCCGTCTCCGCCCCCCTGTCTGGGGGGGATGTCTTCTACCAAACCGGGCTGGGAGGGTGCTGGAGTGATGAATGTGGGCTGAGGGGGAAGGGGACTGCCTGTGGATTTTTTTTTTTTCGTGGGAAGGAAAACGCTTCTGCTAGGCAGATAGATGCCATATATGCTGTGTACTCAGGTTTTTCCTATTTATTGTGGATGGGAAGCTTGCCATCTCCACCCCGCGGACGGGCAGACCAGGGATGGGCTGGCACCCGGGGCCTAAGGAACTCCTGCTCTCTTGCCACAATCTTTTTGTCTCCTCGCTATCTGAATGCCTCTCACCCTTCCCCCACGCTCCCCTTTCTTTGCATTCTCATAGTTTTCTCCCCTGCTGCTTTGTCACTGACCCCCGCCCCCCATATACTAGCCTTCTCTTTTGCTCCTCCCCTTATATCTCCATCTATCACCTTCTGTGCGTCTGTCTCCATCCCTTGCTCTCCAGGCTCTCTGTGTCTCTTGGTCCCTCTCCCTGCCTTCTGTCCCTCTCATTCAAACACTGCGGTGTCCCTTTGCAGGAGATCTGGAGGTCTGGGGGCTGAGGAGGAGGGGATAGGGAAGTACCTCCGAACCCGTTATCCTTTACCCAGCTAAACCTTGGGTCTGGAGGGAGTCAAGAAAAAAAAAAAACACCCAAAGAAGGGTTTTTGTTTTTGAGGGGGAGTCCCAGAAATGTAGCTTGTTTAATATTTTAGGCCTCTTATTTTTGTAAGATGTGTAGAATTTGCTGTTTTTCTTTTTCTTTTGACAACTCAGGAAGAAACTGACCTCAGAAAGAATGTTAGACTTTGGCTGCTCTCTGGTGTGTTCCCTGCCCCCCTCCCTCATCCCCAAGGGAGCAAATTTTCCCAGAAGACTCAGAAAGTGAAAATTTCAGGAAAGGGGAGAGGAAGACCCAGAGCCACACTGAAATCCTTGTTCTTCTGGGGACAGAAGCAGAATGTATTTCTGGGGCTTCCTCCCCAGATCTAAGGTTGTGGGCAGGGGTGTGGGGAGTGGGTTCTGAAAGGAGGCTGCCCTGCTGCCTTCCACATACGTTTTCTGTGAAGGGTTATCCAGAGGGGATGCCTTGGCCCACTTCCTACCCCTGACCCAGAAGGCAGGTTGAAAGGGCCCAAATGGGCAGGTGACATGGACAGAAAGTTCCCAGATAGGTCGTCTCACGTGGCCCTTGCCTACCTAAAGGTCTTCTGTAACTTACGCTGAGAGGATTCCTTCAGGAGGAAGACAGTCTGGCCAGTCTGGTTGGGCGCAAAACTGACTATGGACTCAGCCTTCCCTGTCAGTTGGGGGGCTCTGAGGAGGGGTGAACATGTGTTGCAGGACAAGTGTCTGTGCGGAAGTGTGCCTCTCCTATTCTTTCAGGGTCCTAGGTCTGAACTGTAGGGGCTGTGAGAGGATGAAGGAGATGGGCAGGCTTTTTCTCTCGGGGGGTTTATCTCAGTCCCACCCAAACTTTTACCCAAAGCCCAGGCTTTAGGGCCCTTCCTTGTGAGAATGGTATTCTTCTCCTTCCCACCAACTTTTCCTTGATGGGCTTCATCGGTTTGCCTCCCTCACCCTTCCAGGGAGCCCATTCTGCAAACTCTGAGCTTTGGTGCAAAGCAGGCGGGGACAAGCCCTCACCCCTACCTCTTCTGTCTCCCACCTCAGCCTCCCTTCCTGTTGACTGCCCACCTTTATAGTTCCTAGTCTCCATTCACTTCCCACTCCCAGCTGGAAGGGTGTCTCTGGCGGACATTTTGGGTGCCAAGGTGCTGAGGGCTGGCCTAGGAGTGCTAATAGGAAAGCTGCTCTGTTTTTCCCCCTTCTGCCCCTTGGTCTCTTTCTGGCCCTCTTCTCCTTGGAGCCAGCTGATTGCAGGGCTTTGGTTCCTCAGCAGCAGTGGACTGCAGGGTCCTGGCTGTGAAAGACCCTTGGAGCAGGGAATGAAGAGGTTCTCTCAGGTGTGTGTACCATATATGGGGGATGGAAGGTGTCGGGGAAGCGGGTTGGTATTCCAGCCTTCCGTTCAAGGGGTAGGCAGCTTTGGAGGTGGGGGGAAGAGCTCACTGACTGAGACCCAGGGCCCCCCACTGCTTCCTCTACTGGCTTTGGGGAACTTTGCACAAGGAGACAACCCCCAGTCTACTAGCACCTACCTCATGGGCGCTGGGGTGGGTGGGGGAAGGGCAGGTCCAGCTCTGGCAATGTTGTGGGGGGCATACCAAAGAAACCAGGGGCAGGATTTGGGGAGGGCAGACTCAGCAAGCTGGCCCTCTCCTTCTCTACCCAGATTGGGATGGGGTCCTCTTCTCCAGCTGTAACCATTTCTACCTCATTTTGCTGTGTGTTGTACATGGACGTATTTATCTCCTGTCTGACGATGCTCTGCAGTTGTGGTCTGTCTACCTCAGAAGAGACTGTATTTTAAAAGAAAGTATTACACAGTATTAAAGCTATGACATGTGGTTTCCAGATGATTTCTTTGGGGCAGCAGGATGTGGGGAGCCCTCTGGGCAACATCCAGGTCTGCTGGTGTCATGGGTGTGACTCTGCAGTGTTTCTTTTCCTTCAGCAAAACATCACGTGGAACTCCTTTTACTCATTCTGACACACTGAGGGGCTGGCTACGAGGTGAAAAGCCCCTGATAGGGGAGGCTCTCCTGCAATTCAGAGTTCTCAGAGGCTCAGAACGGGCTGACTCAAATCCTCAGAGGCCTGAAGTATGAGGGGGCAAAGAAGGGCTCACATTTGTTGAATGAAGGAAGGAACGAATAAATGTATGGAGGAAAGGGGGCTGAAAAGGAAGGCTCACTCAGAACTGGACAACAGCCCTTGTTGGCTAGAGCTAGGGTTACACTTGCATTCCATTCTTGGAGGGAGGGGGAGTGGACAGAGCACAGGGTGTGGAGACAACCAAGTTTCCGTCTTTAAGGTCACACGGGATCCGCTGTCCCATCTACCCATCCCCAAACTCTACCTTTGGCAGTACATCACAACCTAGGAGACTGAGAAAAAAAACTAAGAGGGAACATCTTGCTGAAGAAGCTGTGTAGAGATACCCGGAGGTTTGGACCTACAACTTTCCGAGGTCTTTGAAGGCTGAGCTGGAAATACACCAGACTGCAAGGGGAGCAGTGCACCCCTGCTTCCATGGGTTCAGGTTTAGGGCTTAGGAGGCAAAGCAAGCCCAAGGGAGACCCCTTAAAGTAAACAGTTTCCCCTCCAAGAGAAATGACTGTGGTGAGCCTGGATATGGGGGCTCCAGGGCATTGCTCCAAGGTTCAGTGACCCCAGCCCTCCTGGCCCTTGGAAGTTCAGACACCCCCATTCCAGTTGGTTTATTACACAGACACTACATGGCACTGAGGATACAGACTTGGTTAAGTACATCTGCTGTGCTTAATGGCCACTGGACAGCCCACAATACAGGGTGGGAAAAGCTCAAAAATAGATCATTTGAAAATTCAACTGGACAAAGCTGCTTGATGAGGGACTATATTAAGAGGTTTATATTCTCACATCTGGCATAATACTTGGTATACAGAAGATGCTGAGTAAATGCTGAATAAATCCTCAAATTAGTTTCCAGGTAAGTGTCCCAATGGAGAATGCATGTGCTATGCCCAGAAAGATCATGGCTTGTGGTGGGGTGTCAGAAACACCCCCAACAAAAGCTGCAGAGGCCCGAAATCACCAAACCTGAGAGTGGAGCAGGGGTAAATCAGGCTGGAGGAATCACTGGGATTGTACCATGGCACCCCCAGGACCTTCTGTGCCCTGTGAAGAGCTGAGGCTCCACCATGAAGCCAGTGCATTTGGGATGTCAGGGACCGGCGGGCTCATGGATGGGGACTGGTTTGCAAGTTAGGAACTGACATACTGATTCAACAAATCTTCTGAACACTCCTTTTATGGGGACAATAGATGGACCTGAAGTCTACCGGGGGAGACAGTCAAAAGGCAGAGCCGCAGGGTGTTGTGGGAACCGATAGGAGGGACACCTACAGAGATGGGGGTCAAAGGGTGTGTGCCAGACCTGTCAGCTGAGGAGTGACCAGGGCAGAACAAAGTGCAGACCAAGGATCCAAGGGAGAGCCAGAGCCAAGCTTGCTTGGGGGAAGGGAACAAGTTCAATGAGTGGGGCCCTAGTGTGTGTGGAGGGCGGTGGGGACTTGAGGAGAAGCTGACCTTATCCAGTAAAGAGAATATGATGTTTTGGACCCACGTTAGAGGAGATGGGAAATGGTAGAGCCTGTAAACATCAGTAGTTAGTAGGTAACAAGAGAATTTAGGCAATGATTGATATTGGAGATAAGGGAAAGAAAGGGATCTAGCTCTCTTATCCTCCACCCTTGGCAGAGAGCAAGGGTGGAGGATGGGTTAAAGGGACATGGGAGACTTGCCAAATTTGAGGCATTAGCGGGCCGGCCAGGAGGCCTAGGGCAGGTCTTTCAATGTAAGGGTCCCGGATCCCAGCCACCAGGGGGATGAGTCCCACCCAGTCCCTGGGTTTTGTGAGACCTCCCTTTTCAGTCCCTGGTTTCCTGGTGTTGGGAGATCCTCCGACAAGTCCCAGGTGGAGGGTGCCCCCTCCCGGTCCCCGGGTGTCGGAGCCCCGCGCCCCAGCCCCTGATGCCAGGCAGCCCCCTCCCGCCCACCGTCCGCAGGTTTGGGCACCCCTCCCCCACCCGTGAGCATTCGGAGCTCCTCCCCCCACAGTCGGGGTCCCGGTCACCGCCGGCGATGGCGGCCTGGGCACCGGCCGGGGTTCTGGGTCTGACCCTGTTCGTCTGGGCGCTGGCTCCTGCGGGGGCGGTGGACGCCATGGGCCCTCACGCGGCCGTCCGTCTGGCCGAGCTGCTGACCCCGGAGGAGTGCGGCCATTTCCAGTCGCTCCTGAAGGCGCCGGAGCCGGACGTCGAGGACGAGCTGGCCAGGCTTTCTGAGGATCGACTGGCCCGGCCCGAGCCTCCGAAGCCCACGACCGCGTCGCCAGGCGGGCCGTGGCGGCGGCGGCGGGAGGCGTCAGGAGCTCCGGCGGGCGGGGTGGCCGAACCCGCGGAGGCCTCCGACGGCTGCCGCGAGGGGCTGGCGGCCTGGCTGACAGCCCAGGCGCCGACACTGTCTTGGGACCGCGTGGCCCGGGCCCTGCGGCGCAGCGGCCGCCCCGACGTGGCCCGGGAGCTGGGCAAGAACCTCCACCAACAGGCAACGCTGCAGCTGCGCAAGTTCGGCCAGCGCTACCTGCCGCCGTCCGGCGACCCCGCAGCCCCCGGGGCTCCCGCCCCGCGCCCCCGTCGCGCCCCGGCGCCTGAGCCCAACTGGGACGAGCTGGAGCTGACCGTGGAGCGACTGCCCCAGGCGCCGTACCAGCGGAGCCCCACTGGCTGGGCCGGGCCGCTGACGCTCGGCTTCTTCACCGGCTTCGTGGGGGCGCTGGGCGCGGGGGCGCTGCTCATCCTGCTCACGCTGTGGGTCACCGGCGGCGACAGCGACGGGAACGGCGACCGGGCAAGGCACGGCGGCCCCGGCCGGCCCGCCGCTGCCCTGCGCAGGCCTGTTGAGGCGCGCGGCTGGTGGGAAGCAAAGCCGCTGTTGACCAAAGAGCAGCGCGCGTCTCCGAAAGCTTGTGCTGCGCGTGGGCCAGATCCCTCCTCTTCTCAGTGCCCCCCGCTGTAAAATGGGACCACAGTCATGGTGAAGTGCTGCCCCTGGCTTATAAAAGTTATGAAATACGCAATGGAGGGAGCAATCTGTTAGTTTGTGGGAAATGACTGGTGCTAGCCAGTGGGGCTACTGGTGGAAATGGGGCTCGGGTGCCCATCTACCTGGGTAGGATACAGGCCCTCTCCAGTTCGTGTCAGCTTTAGTTCCTTCTTATCTGGCAATTATTCTTCCACCAAGATCTGCCATCTATTGAGCACTAACTGTGCGCCAGGCTCCATGTTCAGCAGCTACATACATTATTTGATATAACCTTCAAAACCCGAGAAGGCAGGCATTATTTCCATTACACATTAGGAAACTCTGGCCATGGCTAGTTGGTGGCATAGTCAGATTTTTAAATCCAGAGCTGCCTGAGCTCAAAGTTTGGGCTCCAGAGGGAAGGATGCGGATCAGTAACAGAGCTTGGGAAACATGATGGGGACCAGAATAAGATGTGGATCTTTTGTTTACTCTGAGGCCCTGCTGAAGCGCGCAGGAAGCAACATAGCCAGCGTGTTCCCACTTCCAGTGGCTGCTGCCTCCAAGCTGCTCTCCCCACTCAGGCAAGGCCCCCTGATATACCTGGTGGCCCCAATTTTCCCACCCAGCCACGTGGCTGGGGAGCTGATTCTGGTGAGCCTTCACATGGACTCTGTCCCCCCACCACAGGGGATGGCAGGACAGTTGGGGGGTCCTGCCGGGTGGGTGTTTGACTCCCCAGCCAGCCTGGGCTGCAGGGCTTTGACGTAAGAGCAATGACACAATGACAGGCCAGTCCAAGAGGAGAGTTGAAAACAAGATTGACGTAACCCTTTATTGCAAATTCTAAAGTAAAAAGATGTACAGTACAAAGTAAAATTGAAATTTCAGACTATAAACTTCCAATCCACTTATACATTCTCATTTCTCAAGCATTTCTGCCATTTCCGCATAAACAGAAGAGGGAACAAGTCGAGGGGGCGAGGGAAGGAGATACAGCAAGGGGAAAAAATTGTCTAGAATAATCACAAATCCCAGAAGCAAGTGAAAGGAGAGACATTTTCTCGACCTGCTGTCCTGGTGATGAGAAGCGGAGGTGGTTGGAGCAGTGCAGTTTAAAATGGCTCTCAGAATAGCAGCATTTATGGTACCATTTCATCTTCCTTAAGTCCAAATAGTACTTTGCCTTTCCCTAGTGCCTTTGCCTCTGTATCTCAAAACACTTTACAAAACATTTAGTTAAAGCCTCACAACACCCCTGTGAGGTAGGTCAGTATTATTATCCCCATTTTACAGATGGGGAAACTGAGGCACAGAGAGGCTAAGTGACTTGCCCAAGGCCACACAGCGAGCCAGCAGTTGAACTGGGGATGGAACACGGAGTTCTGTCCCTTTTCTAGAACCACTGGACCACACTCCCCTTTACCTATATACATTCTTCACACACACACACACACAACATGTGCACACCCACCCACCCTACCCCACTTAGCCTCTATGTACAGCAAACAGCAGTGGGGGGCAGGGGCCGGGGATGCCTCAGGAGCATTTCAATGGAGGAAATCTCAGTAATCTTGGAAAGGGAATCCAAGTAAGCACAGAGCTGAGCCACAGTGCAGACTGTGCCAACCTTGGGGCCCACCCAGTCCAGACTTCCTCTTCTCTCCTAATGTTCCCCTGGCTGGCTGGCTGCAGCCAATTCTTTAGGGGGTGGGGGTACCTGAAAATGAACGAAGCTTTTTGCAAAACTTTGGGCAACATCTGAGAAAAGAGAGGCATCGTTATAGAAGATGCCCAGGACTCAAGTCACAAAGCCATAACCCATGGCAACTTCACCTCCACAACAGGCCTAGAGGCTGGGGCCAAAGGGAGGAGTAGGGGGACTGACATACCAGCCATCTGCCTCCAGAGTGGAGCTACTGGTGCGGACTAGAGTGGGCACTTCAAAATCCTCCTGAGTGTTACTGGGCCAGGAGACATGGCCTAGAAGGCATGTCCCCAAAGCAGAGCAGGGTGAGGGAAGGGGCGGGGTGTCCCTCTCCCCTGCACGAATGTGAATGAGACCAGCCCTAGTCTGCTGGGTTATCTGATGGGGTGATGAAGGGCAGGGCCCAGCATTAGCTAGCAGAGTGGAAGGCTGTTGGGCATCGTGCTCGACCGAGCTTCGGGGCTTTGGGATAGTTTTTCTTGACATAGTGGTAAAAAGGCAGAAGGCCAGCCCAGCTGGGTTGGCTGACATCATCTCTGCGGGCTCTGCCAGGTGGACTGGTGAGAAAGAGGTTTCATGGCCTTCAAGCACCGGGCTGGCAGGGGAGGAATGCCACATGCAATGGGTGACTGGGGTTGGGGGTGGGGGAGTCAGGACCTTGCGTTTCTCTCCAATCTCTACTTCTCAACCTGAACTTTGCAAGAGACCCTCTGACTCCTCTCCTTTCTATTCCCTTCCTGTCCCCAAATGTGCTAAGGTCCCAGTTCCCAGACCCCTCCCAGGACTCAAGAATTGGCATAGTCAAGCGACAAATACACACCAAGACAGGCTTCCCTTGTACAGTAAAAAGGGTCATTTTTATTTTGTTTCCTTTTGGCTTATAGTAGTGATGTACTTTTTATCATGTCTCAGAGTGGTGTTGGCCTCCATGCATTCACTAATACACTAATCTTCACTATTGGTCTTTTACAAGTTTACATTGGTTGCAGCGAAAAATAAATGAACTCTGGGCACTGCTGTTCCAGGGGCTTTGACTGGGACTTTCTGTTTACCTCTTCCCGGTCAACTTCTGATGCCAAAAGTGGCTTATTTAGAGAGGAGTGTGAGTAGGTCAGGTTGATTTGGGAAGTTTTTTCTGCTCTCACCCTCTGCTTTAAATGGTGAAGTCTCCTCATCTACGCAACAAGGAGGTTCAGGGAGGAAGAGGGAAGTGTTTTTCACGCACAAATCAGCAACTGTGTCAGCTGCTGCTCAGTGGCTTTGGCTCTGCATTTGAAATTAACAGCATCACACGTCTTTTTGCTTTTTGTCCTTTTTTAAAGGTGAATTGTGGAGTATAAATAAGTGCACCAAGGACCTGGCTACAAAAAATAAATATTTATATTATATTTATATATCTATATATATATATGTGCAGTGATACTGTGGCTGCTGCTTTTTGATTGGCTTCATTAATACTTGGCAAAGCATTGCCACTTACCCACTCAGTGAAGACATGCAGAAACGTCATCACTGACTCTTCCAGTTTAATGCCTGTTGTTAACTGCAGGTGTAAACTGCTGGTGATGGTGTCACTTACTACCAAAGAAGTGTGGAGCAGGGCATGTGAGTGGTGGGTGGGTGCAGCAGTGGGCGAGGAAAGAGAAGGTGGGAAAAGTCTGAAAAAAAAAGTGAAACTTCAAATAAGGTGGAGGTGGCTTCTTCCCTATGAAGCTGGCTGATGGGTGTCAGATACCAAGGCCTATGTGTGTTACTGAAGAGATGGCCTCTGGGGCTGGGGTCAGGGTCTAGGGGAGGAAAAAGCTCAGATCTCAGAAAAATCTCATTAATATGCTCTAGAAGCTTAATGACATTACTTGCATGAACACTTGGGATCTTAAAGCTCTGTTGCCCATCTCAAGACCTAAGAACAATTATGAAGTTTAGCCAAATTTTGCATAGAAGTGGTTAGAATTTATTGCACATTGGAACAAAAATATATATTTTTTGTTGTTTTGGAAAAGACCGTTATCAATAAAAAATTTTTTGTCTGTCTGTCTGGTTTGGGGATGTACATTGGCTGACAGCATCTAAGTTCTAAGAAGAAAGAAAAGTATAAAAAATAAAGATAAACATGACAATGGCATAAGCCAGAAGCCATTTCCTATTTAATAAGTTAATAATTTATACTTACAAAAAGGCATGCCAATAAAATAAAATGATATATTACAGTATTTATAATTCTCTTAAAAAGAATAACCACACGCCAGCTTCTATTTTGTGCTGTTTCCAATGTAGCCTGTACATGTCACTATACATTCATTCTAGCAGTTAGCTGGGTCACCTTCCCAACCTGGTCTCAGGTGTAGTAAGAAAGTTCTACGGATGATGCCGCAGAAGCAGGTTTAAGAGAGCTGGACAGAGTTTCTAATGGTCCAACAAGATAGAAAGCTCTGCTTACTGACTTGGCTGTGATTTGTTCTATGCAAAACTAGTCAGTGGACTACGAAATTACATCCAAAGTGCTTCTACTGCAAGGCAGATCGGTGTGTCTGATTATCGACTGTTTCCTCCCCTCTATTTTAGGGTTCTGGGAGAATTTATTTTGATTTGGTTTGCCATGCTAAAATCTCTCCTCATTCTGTGATAGACTTCATTCAATTGCAGCATCTTGGTTTTGAAATCTAGTTGTCATATAAGACACCCCTGGACTAAGAACCATCTTCCCTAAAGCAGGAGATGGACTGGAGATATGATGCTCCCCCTAAAGCCACCCTCCAATGGCCATGGGCAGGTCATGAACCAGACAGCAAAACTGGCTGAAAGGGAATGAGGTGGGGGAGCTGGAACATCTCAAGATTTCATATGAAGTCGCTTTCTCATGAGAACCAGTGCAATAAAGAAACCAAGTGGGCTTGGTTCAGAGGTGGCTCCAGCTCTGCCTCTGGTCCCACTGGTGACTATGTAGTCTATTAATAAATAAAGAAACCACAGCCTTAGCCCCAGTGCTGCTGCCCTCACCCACCTCTGTGGGTAGGGGAAGCCCCGCTTGGTGGGAAAATGTGATGGAAGCCAAAGGAATCATGCAATGTGTGAATGTGCGCCACCCTCTGTAGAGGAGAGGCCGTCCAGAACCCCTGAACACCTCTCCGTGTGGCCCCAGGCCCGGAGAAAGCCACAGTGCAAGAGGACATGGCACTGAATGAAGTGAGTACCCCTAGGCCCCAACAAAAGGTTTAAGTTCCCCAATACCCCCTAGAGATAATGTGCCACTCTGAATAGCACTTTCATCTCTGCCCCAAATGAATGTCAGTTTTCCAGTATGAAGGCTAAACAATCCTCATAAATATTGCAAGATACAAATGAACATTTTTTTTTTGATTTTTGTTTTTAGCCCTAGGATTTGGTTTTACAGTGACATTATTAATACAAGCCATTCAAGATCAAAATTTCCCCACGTCTGGGACACAGAGCAGCATTAAATAGTTCATCTTTCAGAATGTGTGACAATGGCTGTATGTTAGAGACGTCTGTTCAACATATACACACAACGGATCCATCTGCTTGTTGGATTGGGTTTGTTTTTTGTTGGTGGTGGTAGTCAATTGGTTGGTCATGTTTCCCTACCCAGAAGGTGTATGAAAGACTTCTCAAAATTCATAAAGAATTGCAGCGGGTATGGAACTCTTACCATTTTTTCCTCCAAATACAGTGAACGGTGCAAGGCTGGGTCCTATCCAAAGGCTGACCCAGTGCAGGGGACAGGATTAGGAGTGTCCTGTGGTGTATGGTTCTCATGCATGATTTCTGATCACAGCATGCCATCATGCAAATCATTTCTACGCATTGAACGAGCACAATGTTTGGATCGGCCTGAGCAAGTCCTCCTCAGCCTGAAGAAACCTGATCATTTTCCCCCACCCTTTGCCAAACCATGTGATGCCCATGTGGAGAAAATGCCATTTATGCCAAAGAAACTGACAATTAAATGACATGGGCTAAATGTGAGTGTGTGTGTTTTTTCTTTTTGCTGCTTAGCTTAACTAAGGTAAGAATGCAAATAGAGTTTGCATGAACAAACAATCTTTTAAAGTGATGCTTTCTGCTTCTGAGAATCAACAAAATGAAAAAATAAAATCCATTTGGCTGCAACAGAAATCTGCTGGTCCCGGCAGCCTCTCTGTTTTTGTATCCTGTTGGTTTTGTCCTAAGTTGCACTGACTGATGTGGAACATGCAGTAACCAGCTGCCCAAGCACTAGAACATCTGTGAGTCCAGGGAGCAGGGTCCTTTGCCCTTGGGAGGTCACTGCTCAAGACTGGTAAGCAGACTACGTTTGGTATAGATCTTCTGGGTGAAGTGTCTCCACAGCTGTTCTGCATTGATAATATTCGGGAAGTTTGTAAACAATCTTTTACTTGCAAGTTTTAAATCGGTACAATATTTAATTTTTGATTTCCTCTAACACTTGGATTCTCTGACCTCTTTTTGTCTTTTGGCTCTTTCCCTTCTTCCTTCCTCCGCCCGTTGCTGTTTCTCCTTTTCAGGTTTAGTTACACTGTCATAAGATGGGAGGGAGGCTGTAGAAGGGGTGCTCTCCTTTTTCTCCCGGTGTGTGCCTCCATTCTCCAGCTTATTGGAAGTCATCTTTTTGCAAATGAAGCCCCGCCTTGCTAAATGTCCCCGGTAGGCACGCTGCAGAACCACTGCCGACACCTCCTCCTGCTTGCGCCGCAGTGTAGTCGTGATTGGCTCATAAGACACTTTGGAAGGATTGGATGCCACGAACCGCTCCTCCATCTGCTGCCGAAGGATGTCCAACTCCCCACTGTCTCCCAGGACCCGCTTGGTGAAGGCAAAAAGGATGTCCAAGCAGTGGATGCGATCTCCGCTGACCATCGGCAGGTCCATGGCAATGAGCTCAATGGTGTTGGGCTTGGGCACTCGGAGCGGGTGCTCCAAGGCATCTGCAAAGTCTGCCAGCTTACAGTACTCGATGAACTGGGTGGCATCAGGGTCAAACTTCTCCCAGATCTCATAAAAGGTCTCAAAGTCATCCTCACTCAGAGGGTCTGCACTTTCCTCTGTGGCCACACTGAAGTTCTCTAAGATGATGGCGATGTACATGTTCACAACGATGAGGAAGGAGATAATGATGTAGCTTACAAAGAAGAAGATGCCCACTGAGGGGTTCCCGCAGTCTCCCTTAAAGCCACTCCCTGGGTGCTCCTTATCCAGACTGCAGTCAGGGGGACGGTTCAGGATGGGCAGCAGCAGGCCATCCCAACCAGCTGAGGTCGTGATCTGAAACAGGCAGATCATGCTGTTGCCAAACGTCTCGAAGTTGAACATGTCATCAATGCCAGCCTCGTGCTTCACATATGCAAAATTGGACATCCCAAAGATGGAGAAGATGAACATGACCAGGAAGAGCAGAAGGCCAATGTTGAACAGAGCAGGCAAGGACATCATTAAGGCAAAGAGCAGGGTACGAATCCCTTTGGCACCTTTGATCAGACGCAAGATGCGGCCGATACGGGCCAATCGGATGACTCGGAATAGGGTTGGGGAAACAAAGTATTTTTCAATTATATCAGCCAGGAACATGCCTGAGAAGAGGAACAGAAGATGGGATGTTACTGCGATTGGAGATTCTCTTTTTCTTTACTTACGCCACCCGGCACTATGGAACCCTTAAGTTTGAAGGACTTTACAGAAATGAGTGCCTTTCTAGTCAATCGGAACTCTCATAATAAAAAAGAAAATTACATGGTTCAAAACACATAAAAAAGCAGAGAAAATGATCGAATAGACACTTGTGTACCTAACACCCAGATTTTAATAAATGCTAGCATTTTACTGAATTTGCTTCTTCTCTTCAGCCCCAGAAGCAACCACAATCCTGAAGATAGCATTCTGGTATCTTTGTAAGTTTTGCTATGTATAAATCCATAAATAACATATAGATAACATCCTACTATGATTAAAGAATTATATCTATCTTTTTATAGATCAACTTTTTAAATCTCTAGCTTTCTTTTTTGATTTAATATTATGTTTATGAGATTGATCTCTGTTCTTAAACTAATTTTAGATTATTCATTTTAACAGTTCACCAGTCCACATTTGAATAGGTCCTCATTTTTATGTTTTCCATTCAAGGATAATTTTTTGTTTTCAGATTTGTGAAGGCATGACCTTCAGAGGTGTTATCGATTCCTCACCAAAATGCTCAAATTTCCATATCCACAGGCAACTAACGAGGTCTGGCTCCACCCCATGACTTCACTGCCCTTTGGCTGTGCTGTCTCAGTGATTCTGAGAATGCCACAAATTTTCAAAGTATCTTCTTTCTGGCTCTAAAAAGGAACTTTTGGTTTCTCACTGCCCAATGTCACCAAACTTGCCTAGAAAACTAAAGGGACCTCTCAGGAGTGGTTTTTAACTCAGAGCCTCTGGATTTTGTGTTTAAAGCATAATTTAGAAACCAGTATAAGCAGATAAAAATGTCAAAGCATTAGTAGGATATGAAAGTAGAGAATGAAAACGAACAATGGATAGGGCCTTTGTGTTTACATTTATCCAGGGGTCCACCTCAACCAGACCACTCACCTTTAAAACAGGAGCCTGATGAGGGGCCCCAGAAGGAAAAGGAGAGGAAAAATTTGGGAAATGAAGGATGAAGGGAAGGCAAGGACATGTTCTCTTCCTTTAGTGCCTTCTCTTGTCAAGGCCCTGACATGACAACATGAACTTCAACTCACACATGAGGGATGTAGTACTTTAAATAAGGAAATATCTTTCAAGCCTAAGGATTTGTGAATAAATATTGGGAAGTGAACTGCAGAAGGCTCTGAATTCCCTTGTTTGAAGGTTTTAGGCTAGGAAAGAAACTTAACTTTCAGGAAGGGACACCTCTGTAGGCATGACCGTCAGAGGTGTTATCGATTCCTCACCAAAATGCTATCAAATTTCCATATCCACAGGCAACTAATGAGGTCTGGCTCCCCTCCATGACTTCACTGTCCTTTGGCCGTGATGTCTTAGTTATTCATCTGCAGTAAGTCCAGAGAGTAGGGGCCTTTCCTGGAGTGAGAATGCCACAGGTGATTCAGCTTTCAGGAAAACCTCAGCCAGGACCCATGATGGCTTCTCGGGCCTGTTTTTTTTTCTTTTACTACTTAATTAAGTCATAACTAGTGACCATGAGTCAGAGAATGTGTGTAAAACTGGCATTTCATCACTGATGGACAAGGAAGGCTTCAGTGAGGAGATGCCTGAGGAAGGCTCTGCAGGAAGAATGTGAATTTGTTCCCAGAGTGAAGGGACGGATGGGGGCAGACAGCAATCTGGCAGTCAGAACACCAGGCACCAGGTCCTCTAGGAGGTTCCAGGGCTCACTTTCCCTCTCAGTTTAGAAAGCTAATTTCTGTATTTTGTTTCTGAACAATTTAATGACATTCAATAAAAATCCCAATCACCAAAAGTAACAGTGTTCTTCCTCTTTATCTTGAGTGCCATCCAAGAATAGGGGCATGGCTTGTTCTGTGAGTTCTCCATCCCATTCAGTGGTGGACGGGCACTGAAAGTTTAGCAACAGTGGACAAGGGCAGCCCTGTGCACGTATTTTGTGGACGCTTAGGAGCCTGGGTTTGAGGGCAGGCTCGCTTACCAGCCACATTCTCAGATGCTGCTCTTGTGTCTCGGTCCCTCAAGACACTTAGACAGTTGTTGTAAGAATGATACGAATTAAAACATGTAAAGCCCTTAGAATGGTGACTGGCACATTAGTATTTTTCATTAAAATATTAGATATCATCATTATTACTTGAAGAAAGGGCACTGTGATCAAATAAAGGTGGGATGGTGTGTTAAAAGTTAGACAGAATTCTTTACTGCAGGACTTCCAAAAGCCTTATATAGGTGAATGTGCTCTGTAACTCTCCAGGGGAAATTGAGTGTACAGTATTGCCCAAAGTAATTTAATTGGGCGTCTTTTCTAGGGGAGAGGTGTATTGGATCGGTGTTCGTGCCAACATACTTTGGGACACGCTGCTCCGAGGACAGAACTAGAAGGTGGCACCAGCCAGTGGGGAGGGCCAGCTGCCTGCTGTCACCCACATCACCACCTCACTAAACCTGCCTGGTTGCTGGAACTCTGGGGCTGGTTTCCATGGTCTTCCACACACTCTCCACTAGCCTAAGCCAGTCAAACCTACCTGGAGCCAAGGCAGTGTATCATCATTCAAGATACCTTTTAGGAAAGCAAAGAAACATTTTGGGAGGCAACCAATGGGACATTTCCTCCGCCTACCAGGACATCACCCCTTCTGAACCTTTAGGTTGAAGCGAAATGCCATACAGTTGCTGTTACAAAGCAACTTTCTGGTTGAGTGACCTTAGACATTTTTACAGAGAAGGTAACAAAATAGGCTGCTTCCTGGACTGTCAAAAGGATCAAATGAGATAATGCAAGTGACCTCGCACACACTAAGATCTCAGCACAATGAACCCTGCCAACATCATCAGCACTCCCCCCGTCGCTGGCAGAGTCTCCCCAGACCATTTCATTTAATATCCAACTTCACCTTCTCTGACCATTCCTTTTCCCATTTTATACCACGATCGTAGCCATTTTTCAGTAAGTTTCTTTTACCTTGCCTATCAGAGTTCAAACTCCTTGAAAGCAAGAACCAAACAACCTTTTTTCCCCTTCAACTAGAGAACGTATAATCCAAGACTGCTACGAATACCCAGTAGAAACTCCCTGACCACATGACCTGCCTTGCAGGCCCAGTGAGGTGATTTAGCGGCACGCAGGGGCTTAAGCTACGGCAGTGACCTGCCCGCGGCTCGGACTGTGTGACTAGCTGCTGTGCCAGGAACCCCGCCCTCCAGGCCAGCCAGGCCCGCCCCCGCCCCGGCCCGCCCCCCCTCACCCACGATGGACAGGATGACGACCACGAAGTCGAAGATGTTCCAGCCGATGGTGAAGTAGTAGTGCCTCAAGGCAAACATCTTGAGCACACACTCGCAGGTGAAGAAGATGACGAAGACCAGGTTGATCCAGTAGAGGATGTTCTCCATCTGCTTGCTCTGAGTGTCCGTCTCCACCATCATCGTCACCATGTTAAGGCAGATCAGCATCATGATGACGATATCAAAGGCTTGTTGAGTGACAAAATCAAAGATGATACCTTGGATTTTATTCTGGGGGGAGAGGAGGGAAGAAAGAAACACAAGGACTTATGAAAACCTTTCCAAGACGGTGGAAGTTATCCTGTTGAAGTACGTGGCTTTCTTTCCTGTAATTCTAGCCAGCTCTATCCTGCTGTTCTGCCAGGACACCAGGGGCATGCACAGATCCCAACGTCAGTATTGCCTCACCAAAAATTTTACAGAATTGCCATTTTTCTGTGTCTACGCCTTCACACACTTCTAGAGATTGTCCTGCCTCTCCAGCTGTTCCTTCTTAGTCTCCTTTCTTCTCTTGATTTTTTCTTTCTCTACATCTATCCCTACTGCTTACGTAATGTACGTGTTTCTCAAGTTCTTTCTTTTCCAGCCAGTATTTTTCCTATGAATTCCTGTATTGCTTACTTGACATCTCTCCTTGGTGACTCATAGCCTTTCAAACTTAACAAGTCCAAAGCACAACTAAGTCTCTTCCTTGCCCCTCACCCAACCCATTCCACTTTCATCTTAATAATTCATTTAGCTTGCAAACCAGAAATCTGAGGGTCATCTTTGTCTCTTTCTTCTCCCTCATCCCCATCAAACCCATTTGCAGATACTACTGGTTCTTCCTTCAAAAATAACTTGAATTCATCCACTTCATTCCACTTCTGTCGGCCCTACTCTAGCCTAAACCATGTCAGCTTTCACCTGGGCTTCCAGAAGAGTCTCTAACTGGTCTCATCCAATGCAGTCTCCACATAGAAGCAAGTATGATTATTTAAAGACATAAATGGATTACATCATTCTTCGACTTAAGACCTTCCAATATTTCTCACCAAGCTTACAAGAAAATTCCTACTGTTCACCAGGCTTACAGATGCCTTGCACAGTCCAACCCTGCTCATCTCATGCTCCTTCCTCTGGCGCATCACCACCTAGTCAGACTGTCACCTGTTTTTAGGGCCTCACCTGCTTTTTAGGATCTCTTTCCCCAGCATTTTGGTTCTTTCTCATTCATGCAAGGAGACCCTCCTCAGTGAGGCTTTCTCTGATTACTCTACTGAAGTAGGTCTCCCACCTCGAACCCCCATAATTCTCTGTCATGGCCCTCCAGTGAATTTTTTCTCACAACATTCCACATTTTATAATAGCTCTTTGCTTACTTATTCACCAATATCCCCACCATGTGAATTCATCCACTTCATTCCATTTCTGTTGGCCCTACTCTAGCCTAAGCCACATCATTTTAAGCTCCGTGACAGCAGGATCTAAATTTTGTGCCTCGTTCTATGCCTAGTGCCTGATATACAGCATGAGATCTATAACTATTTGCTGAGTGTGTGCTAATTACTCTTTATTAATGTTTCCTTCCACACTAAGATTTTATATTTTAGTATGGAATGAATCATAGTCAGGTTCCCCTGGGCAAAGCACTGAACAGAACTTTAGAAATGTTCATCCTCTCCCACTGCCTCTGAAGTCTCATTTCTTTCACAAAATGGAAACTTGATTATTATCAAGGAAATATAAAAGGCATTCTCTTTCTTAAGATCACCCCAATTTTTTTTTTAAGTACCTAGACCCTTGAATTAATCCTTACTTTCAGGATTACTTTAACTTGGTGGTATTCAAACTGTTCTACAAAGACCTAGGGATTTCTTTCCCTCAGAAGCCGGCGAGGCATGTATCCCAGGGGCAGGGGGTGCAGCTAAGTAGGGAAAATGCTCTGGGACTCTCATTCTTGATTCAAACAAAGTAGCTCTACTTTTATATACAAATGGCCAGGTAAGCTATTATTTTAAGACCTCTGTTTTTTGAAATAAAGTTACTTTAAATGAAAGTCACAAAAGACAGAACTTTGAGGCTGGCTTTTGATGCCTGGCAGAGCTTCTTCTCTGAAGCAAGAGGACAACAGCTGCCAGCAGAAGGGTAAAGCAGAACCCCAGCCACCACACGTTTTACAAGACTCAATTCAAGACAGGAAATCAGGACATCAGAGTCCTCTAGTTTCACCTTCTTCTGCCGCCACAAATAGCCAGAAGCATTATTCAAGCTTCCAGGCAGATCCTTGCAAAGAAGACTTACTTGCTGGGTTGAGGGCTGAGAAAATATTGACCCAATCCTAGCTCATACTGGTAGGAAAGAGATCAGCTTTCACTTTCTCCTTCAACTTTTAGTTGTCTCCGAAACACCCCTCTACCAGGCCCAGACCCAATGTGGTTAACATGCCGATGTTCTGCCTGTGCCCAAGGGAGGCCCGGAGGGAAGGTCAAGCACGAGGGCAAAAGCCACCCCGCATCATGGTCCCTGTCCTGCTGCCTTCCTCGGATCCTCTGGATGCAGCGGCTAGGAGAGGACTGGAGGGCATAGGCAGCCACCCTTCCCCCTCTCCTTCTTCTGCAGAACTGTGCCCTCAGCCTGCACAATGCACTCACCACGGGCCGGGGAATGGGTTTCTGTGGCTTCTTTGAGCCCAGTTTTTTCATGGCATTGTAGTACTTCTTCTGTTCTTCAGTCATGAAGATGTCCTGACCTCCAAAGTAAAGGAGGGAAAAAGAACGAGCAATTACAACTGGCTCTCACACGCTACGGGTTCAGTTAGCCCCTTTCCAGAGGTCAGTTTAGCTAATAGCTGTCCCAGAGGGAGACAGACCCGTACAGCTATTCTAATTCAAGGAGATACCTGTCTTTGTTTTCAGCTTGGGATGCGAGTGGGCTGCTAGTGGCTAGGAGGGAAGGAAATGAACTATCCAATTACAGATCTCAGTGAAGGGTAAACCTGAGAGCAAGGACTCTGAACACCTTACTGCTTCATACATCCTGGGGGCCTGCTTTCCTGATGAAAGTCTAGAAAAAATATTTTAAAAATAAAGGATTTTCAGGTGTTAGATAATGATCCATTTACTTCTGACAATACTCAAAATCTAGAAATCCAGTTGCAAGAAAACAATTTGGGGAGTTCCTTGGAGTTTGTTGAGACAGAGTTGATTTATAAAATGAATGGCAAGAGTACTCTTTTCAATTTGCTTTGGAAGAACTACTAACCATCTGGGATAAATAAGGAAGTGAACTTTCCAAGGGTGTTCTCTCAAATCCTAATTTGCTAGTCGTGCTCAGGGATTAACAAGGATAATTACAAGTTGAGACAATTTCTACTTTTCTCAGAGCCATTCACCTGCTTCTTTCCTGTTCACCCTGCCACTAGGCCCTCTCTGACCTTGGCCTCCGGTGGGAAGCCAAACCCAGTGTACAATGTATAGTGGTGGGAAAGAGATCAGCTTTCATTTCCACCTTCCTTTAACTTTCAGTTGTCTCCGAAACATCTCTCTACCAGGGCCAGACACCAAAAGGTGTCGAGAATTGCTAAGAAATTACTGGGTTGGCCTAGCTGATGTGGTAAACTACACACTGTGAAATCCAGCTCCCAACAGAAGGAGTTGGTTGGGGCTGATGTATGGTGGGGTCAGTGCCACACAATGAGGTGATAATAGGGATTTTAGAGAAAGAGAGCTGTTTTCTCTCTAGAGGTAGGGACACAAGTGCCTCTTATCTCGGTTGACCTCTGGCCACTGGCAATGAGGGGAGGAGACCTATCTTTTTCTTTTGTTGATTGAAGTTATCAATGATGACACCAATGAAGAGGTTCAGGGTGAAGAAGGAGCCAAAGATGATGAAGATGACAAAGTAGATGTACATGTAGATGTTGTCTTCATACTTAGGCTGCTCATCAGGCTGTCAAAGGACAGGAGGAAAAGGGAGATAGTCAGCTCCTAGCAAGCAGATCGGGTGGGCGATAACTGACCACGCGAGCCACCAAACGAGCTGGGATGGGGGGTTCCCAGGTTCTCTCTGCCTGCCTCCTTCTCCACACTGACAGGTCCTGCCCTGAGAGAGCACCATTCCTGCCAGGACATAAGTGGAGAATATGCAATCATGAGGCGAGGGGGAAGGGGATGCTGTCTGCTAGGAGCTGTACTTATTTCAAAGCAGCACTGAAGAGCAGACAGCTCCATGGGGCCACATACGAATCAACAGCCCAGGCATCTGGAGCCAGTGTGAGAGGAGGAAAGTGATCTGTGCCCAATCAAACCAGCAATAAATGTTCTACCCCTCTCTTGATGAGCTCCACCATGCCACTTCTTTTTAACCCCCTAAGGAAGCTGTGGTTTCACCATGCATGTCCTTACCTTTCGGGAATCTACAGCTGCATACATGATGTCCATCCAGCCTTTGAAGGTTGCCTGGCAAACAGAGTCATTCATTAGAGTGTGCTGTTTGGGGGTGGGTGGCAGTATAGGCAGGGGTTCCAAAGGCCTGGCTTAGATTTAGTGAGAACACAGGATGTGTTTGGGCTCAGCCTTATGTGGACATAGAATTTTCTGTGTGTTAAAACAGGGCCCTGGTGAGTTTTGTCTATGTCCCTGAAAATAACACCAGAGCTTGATAGAGAAACATGTCGACAATGGTCATTGGAGCCATACTTTTACAAATGGTCTTTCAAATGGGCCTGAAAAGGTTGCCTAAGTCTAGGGAAAACTCTTATTTATCAATGAATGGCAGGACTCTTCTGAGGGTACTTCGATCTAAGCTCTCCACTGAGAAG